CAGTTGTGCTTTCCGATTTAGTTTGGATGAGCAATTTGCCACGTAGTTGTCCGAGTAGTCAACTTACTGTTAGACTGTTCCGGTCTCTAGTTTTAATTTTCATTTGTTATTAACTTTTGCGGATCAGTAACAATTGTTGGCGATTTAATTACTTTTTTTGTTCATTAACAAGAAAAGTCCTGCTATTCTTTGTGAAAAATATTTTTCCGTAAACATTTTTTGACAAAAAAAAAAAAAAAAAAAAAGACGTTCAAATATTGGTCACTCGAGCTTTAGAGCCAAAAACGAATCATTGAAATGAATTTCCACTCGAACTATTATTTAAAAATTCTTCCGAACAATCGAAAAAACGGTAAATAGTACTCGGTACTAGACTATTGAATTGCAGGAATATAAACAGCGGAAGTGATTATAAACTTGAATAGTAAATATTGTCATTTAAACTACTGGCAAGATCCGGCAAGCGGTGATCGACAGAGATTACGTTAAGTTATTAATTTCGATTATGAAACCCAACTACGGGATAACTGAACTGTGCTGCAATCATATCGTTGATCGTTGAAGCTTCTATTACAAAATTCTTTGAGCATTTCACAATAATACATAATGAGAAAAATTCCTCTCGCGTTCTCACAGCGCTGAAACTCGATATTATTTCTTTAGATCAAGCTCTGATGAATATAGGGCACGACTCTTAAATTCCAGCAATGAAAAGGAATAAAATTTCATTCATTATCTCTGTAAGTAATTTGCCTTACTTCATCAGATCTTCTGAAGTTTATTTTCCCGTAAATTCATTTTTAATAGCAACTATCTTTAATTTCAATGGAGGGACACATTTATTGCACGGATGCGGAAAACAGAGTTTTTAATTGATATTTTATTTCGTTTCTTTGAACTCCTTTGATGATAGTCAAGTACGCTGTAATAATATTATTTGGTTGAAGAAAAATATTTTCTTCAAGATTTTATTCTTGCTGAAAGACATTCTTTTTTAATTATTTCGATAAATTTATGAATCAAAGCAAGAAAATAAAAAGATGAAGATGATAAACTTTTTATTCTAAATTCTATCGAAATTTGTTTTGATTTTAAGTTTTCTTTCTGTATTTTCAATGAAAAAAATATTTATTTTTTTGAACCAAAAATGTTAAATTCTTAAAAATAAAAAGAAATTATTGTTAATTTTGGAAAATTGTGTCTTTTGATGAAGAATTTGATAGTATCGATTGATGATAATATGATAACCTTGGAACAAAAATGTAGAATTTAAAGGCAAAAAATCCTTGAACATAGTTATCTTGAATCAAATAGTTGTTTTTTCCATAATATTTACCATTTTGGTAAAAAAATATCACTACCGCAGTAATTAAGAGTTATTTGCTCCATCACAGGCAAATAAATACTATTAAAAACTCTCGGGGATTGAATTTACATAAAAACTCATTAAAATATATGCGTTTTAAGGTTCCATGAGTATGAACTAGTTTTTTTATGCCCGTTTTACTTTACTCATTTCCATGTAGTTTTTTTAGCGAGTAAAAGCCGGAGTTACTCTTTTGATCTTTCAACTGTGCAGAAAAAACCTGAATAGAAGAAGCTGAGTAGAGTGGAGAAGGGTAGGTTAAAGCGGAGAAGGGCGACCGCCAAGAAATGTCGAAAGTCCTATCACGAAATGGCGTCTCTCTCGGGCAGGGCGTCGTTTGAATTTTACCAATAGTGATTTTACGGCTTTGAGAATTTTCTGACGTGCGAGATGCGAGAACAGCCGCGACGTTTTCTAAAATTAAACCCTGGTTTTTTGTTCTCACAACTTTACAAACTCCTCACACTTTTATGTCTTTACATCCCTTTATTTTATTTGTAGGGGAGACCGGGAAAATAGAGTAACCCAAAATAATTCTATTTCTTTTCCAAATTGTGTTTCGCATTTGTTTGAATTTTTATTCGATGAAAAATGTTTTGTTTATTTTTTTTCTTTTTTCGTATAACTTATGAAGAATGATACATTTATTTAATGTTTTAAGCTTACGACTGGAGTTTTTAACACTTAACATTATGGTTCTTGCAAAGTAAGTTTATTTATGGCGAAACTAAACGAAACTTTGCACCCCTGTCTAGGCCAGTTGTTCCCGCATTCGGGAAGTTGTTAAAGCATTAGGAGAAGCAATTAAAACTAATTGGTGAAACAAAAGTATGATAAGAAATGTAAATACAACTTTAATTTTCATTAAATTAACAACAATTAGAGAATTTTTGTCTTAATTACCTTTAATAATTGGCTTTTACATTAATATTTATTCCTTCAAATGATTTTATTTTCAAAGATCATTAGAAGTGTAAAGAAAGAAGTGTTTATTCCACTTTGAAAACACCTTCAATTAAGGCTTTAATTGGTTCGTATTTTTTCTTAGAAGAACACAAAAGATGAAAAGCTTACATTGAAAAAAAACTACTTGGCTGAAAAAAAATTTTATTAATCCAAGAAAAAAATTATTTTGAAAATAATTGGCTGACTTAATCATTTCTTAATTTTCTTCAATTAATTCAGTTAAAAAATTAAATTATAAACTTGATACAAAAATAAACTATGCCTCAATTTCCGGTCACTAACTTTCAAATTTAAGACCCATCGATAGTTTCTAAAAGTACCTTCTTATATTTTTCTTAAATATTATTTCCAAGCGCTTGCCGCCGATTTGATTTCTTCAACTCGAATTATTTTTTCACAATCGAAATAATTTCATAGCAACAATTGTAACAATTAACAACACGAAGCAAAACTTTGTCTATAAATTATTTACGAGAATTCTATCATAAAATCATAGAAACAATGCAAGCACAACAATAATCATAACGTATTAAGCTTCAGATATTGCGCGGTGAGTAATTTAATCATTATTCGCCGTTCAACAGCATAACATCGTATAAATAACTCCGAAATAAAACTTTAATTACTTATCAACAAATTAAATGAATTCCATACAAACGGTATCAGAACAAACAAACAAACAATGATATTTATTACTGATTTAAAAGATATTATGTTCGCTTCTGCCTCTGTACCATTTTGTACTTTGCTTCTGCTCGTATTAATATTCTGACTAAAATGACAATGGCATGCTTATCTATAATTATTATTTTACCGAGCAATTAATACCCGTATTATCCTCTTACGCATTCAATATTTGACCGAATGAGATTTGTTTTAAACATTTCACCCGAGCGGAGAAAAGTAGAGACAACACGGAGAGATTTGGATAGAGATAAACAATGCGGGTGGTTTATCCGATCGATATTTATTGATATTACGATTGCCTGCGGATTTTGGCAGCGTTTCTATGCTCTGTCCGTCACCCCCAATCTCTATAACAATAACTTCGAATCCACTCACTTTTGATGCTTCTAGTTTTACAATCTAATCTTTACGATCTCAATAGCTAATTCCGATATCTAAATTTCCATGTGACATTTTTTTTTGGTCAGATGTCTTTCAGCATTTATAGAAAATAACTGGAGCTCTATCGATTGGTTTTAAATATACGCGCGGCTGAATGGTGTCGTAAGGTCAGGTTCATTAAAAAAAAAATGTCGATGCAATTGTAGAACCAGGTCAAAATTTAATATTCAAGTTATTTCAAGAAATTATTCTATCGATTTTATAATTTTAATGTTCAAATTTACACTGATGAACAAAATAATTCTATTAAGAAAATTTTCTTGCCAAGATAATTATCGAAAATTTATTTTTTTGTCGGAATTGATTGAAATAAAATTAAATTTATTTACTTTAAAAAAAACATTGATGTTTTTTTATAAAAAAATTCTTTAACATTTTTTCGACCTAATTTTTGAAAAACAGTTTCATACAAATAAAAAAATTTTTGATAATTAAAACAAAAAAAAATGAATTTTTCATAAAGTTTTAAAAAAAATGTCCCTAAATTTTAACCATAAGCCAAAAAAAAAATTCATCTAAAAAAAATTCCTAAACTGCACAATAAATATTAATCATAAAGTATTTTAAATTCATATATAAATTTGATATTCTTTTGTGTTCATGCTCCACAATCGGAACAGAATAATATAACAGCTATAAAGGTAAGTTGTAAAGAACACGGATTATTCGATTTTGAATTTCATACTGGAATTCTCATTCCAATTTATACGTACACACATATATTCATATGTATACATATATCCATCCATATAGATTCGTACATGACTTTGTACTATATGTATCCTTGTTCATATTCATCAGTCATGAGACAATCACACGAGGCATTAAATCTTGTAGCTGCCTATCACACCGTTCAATTGTACGAGGTTCATTCTTTTTCAAATACCCTCACATACCCACACAGGTATACATGCATGTAAACACATATAGATGTATATATATATATATATGTGTATGCAAATGTTACGATCGTACCGGCAATGTGCCAAGCGCAATGTAGCCAACGACGTGAACAGCGGCGAATTCATGGGAATAATTATAGATTATGAGTGTTGTACTCGATATCCGTATTCTGAAATTCCAGTTTTCGCTCCGAAAATAAATATTCGTCGCAATGAAAAAAACATTAGACATAACATGTATCACATCACATTATATCACATAATTTTTAATGTATTTTATGAACGTAATATTTTTAATAATTGATAATTCTATCTGTCTAGTAATATGTTAATCAAGTAAATGTCAATGAACATTTTTTTCTTATTTTTATAAGAAAAGATAGAATTAATTTTTTTTTAATTTCTTATAAAGTAATTTATTATAAAGTAAAGATTTTTTCAACGTCCTATATAAGAAAATACATGAAAGTTTTGAAATTAATCGTAGGTCCAAATTCGCAAGATATGGGCCACGTTTCATTAATGATTAAAATTAAAGTGCGCACTTAGCGCATTTATTTGAATAAAATTAATTGAACTACATAACACGCTCATAAAAAAATTAAAAAAACCATAAATTACAGACTGAAACGGCCCTAATGTACGACGCGGTCCATCTATTTGCAAAAGCTCTCCATGTACTGGACGCCTCTCAACAAATGGAAATTAAAGCACTGTCCTGCGAGTCCTCAGACACTTGGTCTCATGGCTACTCGCTGATCAATTACATGAAAATAGTGAGTAATAATTATAATTCCAAAACAAAAGAGTAATTGTCAGTATTGGTATCAGAGTAGGTTGAGGCTCTTTATCGGCTGGTAATTGGCTTCATATTTATTTTTATCCAGTAGTATACTCTCGAATGCGAGAATTTTTCCGAGGCGAGTCAATTCGCGCAATAAATTAATGAGAGCATTTAATCAGTTTCAGCAAACCCCCGTTAATTAACACTCTGTTTTATGTTATGTGCTTGGTTTTATTTTTTTTTGTTTCTACTTCCGATAATGATCATTATCCATTTCGATTATTCATTATAAATAATTGCCAATTATTGATCACACACTCCCACTCCTTGGTTTGTGTTATTAATTACAGTGTTTTAAACCCTCGAATAATTAACGCTTATGATTTTACATGTCAGTGAATCTGCGACTGTGATTAAATAAAATAAAAATAATAATGCTAATGCTGATTATTATAAGTTATAATTAAAGTTTGATTTGTCAAGTAAAAATTTTACGATAATAATTACCGGCATTTCCCTCAGGTGGAGATGAACGGCCTAACCGGGCTGATTAAGTTCGATCACCAGGGGTTCCGCTCTGATTTCATGCTTGACATAATCGAGTTAAATAATAAAGAGGGGCTCAAGAAAATCGGAGTGTGGAACAGCACTGAGGGAGTTAATTTTACCCGAACCTTCAGCGACGCTTACACACAAATTGTCGAGAGCTTGCAGAACAAAACTTTTATCGTCTCGACAATATTGGTTTGTATTTATACCTACTGATTGCATCTCTTTGTTGATAAACATCCTGTTTTAGAGAGCCAGCTTGCTCATTATTATATTCACTATGAGAAGAGATAATAGCGCTGCAATATATAGGTCGTCAACTTTGAAGAAATTTGTGGTTTGAAGTTTGCTCTATTTTGTTGATCAACTTTGCTTATCATAACTAAACTGTTGGTTAGAGAATACTAGTCATTAACTAGTTATTATTTTTTTTTATCCAAGATAACTTTTTTAGATATATTCTCTTCTCAATCTAATTAAATTATCTTCTTAAGTAATATTAATCAAACAAACATTCTTGCCACGAAAATTCCTTCTCGAATAATTTCAAAATTAATTAAGTAAAGTGCTGTTCACTTGATGAAGAGCACTTTGAAGCTTCCTTTTGATTAAGTTAGAAATTCATACTAACAATAGTGATTCCCGTCAATAGAAATATTTTAAATTTTCAAGGTTTAAATGTCATTTTACAATGAAAAAAAATTTTCAATTAAACTGCAATAAAAATTTTAATTGTTTAAAAAATATTTAAAATTACAAAGCGAATTATGTTATTGAAAATTAAGGCAATTATTTACAAGTGGGGTCTAACATTTTAATTTTCATTTTTTTGAACAAGATTTTTTTTTTGAAAAATACATAAAAAAAATGAACAATTGAAAAAAAATAAGTTGATCGCAATTTTTACAAATTTTCAAAAAAATTCAACTTTTTTTTCAATTATTCGTTTTTTTACGTACTTTAAAAAAAAAAAATATACCAAGAACATCAAAAAACGATAAAATAGAAATTTTATCGAAAAACATGAGAGCCAAAATTTTTTCCAACTTTTGAAGGCAAAAAAGTTATCGAAATGTTAATTTTTTAATTTTTCGATAACACCATCATAAATACAAGCAGAATAAAAAAAATTGTAATTTTTCACCTAAATATGGTCTAAAATAGGTTTGACCCCACTTGTAAATAATTACCAAAATTAATTACTTAATTACAGCAATTTTTTTCCTAAAAATGAATAAATAAATTCATCAATTAAAATAAAATTTTAGAGCGCGCCGTACTTCATGCTGAAAGACTCAAGCGTAAAACTAGAAGGTAACGCACAATACGAGGGCTACAGCGTGGACCTGATCCACGAAATATCGCGGATCCTGGGGTTCAATTACACGTTCGTGATAGTCCCGGACAAGAAATACGGGTCCTACAACAAGAAAACCAAGGAGTGGGATGGAATGATAAAAGAGCTGCTGGATCAAAAGGCGGACTTGGCAATAGCCGATTTGACTATTACGTACGACCGCGAGCAGGCCGTTGACTTCACAATGCCTTTTATGAACCTGGGTACGAACGAAGAGTAATCCCCCGGGCTTACGGATGAATTTAATTATTATTTTGTTGTTACAGGTATAAGCATACTTTATAGGAAGCCCATAAAAAAGCCACCAAATTTATTTTCATTTCTAAGCCCTCTCAGTCTCGACGTGTGGATCTACATGGCCACGGCTTATCTCGGCGTTTCTGTTCTTCTATTTATATTAGCCAGGTAAGTTAATACTGCTTTTATTATCTCGATCTAAATTGATAAACTCAATTTTTGCTAAGACTGGGATATCAATTCCTTTTTTTTTATATATATTTTTGTTGGTAATAAAAAACTACTGTTGGGTAATCTAGTAATTTTACTGTCGAGTATAAAAATTAACTTTATTTACATTTAATTTTTTAATATTCATTTATGTTAACGTAGTCCTGGTATGTTTCTTTCTCAGTTATCCCGGGATTTATTTTTATGACACAGACTAAAGTCGAGATAAAAAGTTGGTGATAATTACCCTCGACAATTAAAGCTACAATAATAAAACCAAGGGATATTTGTGATAAAATTAAAAACGTCTAATGTTATCAATAAATTTTCACATCAATTATTAATCAATTATATTTTTAAATAAAAATAAAATTTAATAGAATTTTTTACGAAAAATGACATTATTTTTTTTTATTAAAGTTTATAAATAAAATAAATAAAAAAAAGCTATTTTTTAAATTAATTAAATTTTATTTTTTATAGGTATTTTTATTTATTTATAATAAAAAAATCTAATTAATTAAAGTTTAATAAAAAAAAAACAAACTTTAGATTCACACCGTACGAATGGTACAACTCCCGTCCTTGCGGAAAGGACTGTGACCACGTACAAAACCGTTTCAAACTAATAAACTGTCTGTGGTTCACAATCGGGTCCTTAATGCGTCAAGGCTGCGATATTCTGCCCAAGTAAGGTCAAACCCTAGATAAAAATAAGAATGAAACCACTACACAAGGAGAGAAAAGTTTAAATGGCTGATCCCCTAGATTACTGCTCTTATCTCGTATCTCGTCCAGTCCACACTCTAAGGGGTTGTAACTGAAGCTCAAGCTCAAATTATTTAAATGATAAAAAATCTACTGTTACAGCTCTAATCCCTCCCTCCTTTCCATTAAAATGTCCACAGGTTCAGTCCGTATGAGTGGGAAAACCCTTCTCCGTGCAACGCCCAGCCTGAAGTCTGCGAGAACGAGTTCACACTCCTTAACTCACTCTGGTTCACCATAGGTTCGCTCATGCAGCAAGGCTCTGATATAGCGCCTAAGTAAGTTTTACTCATTTTCACGATAAGAAATAATAACAAACTATTTTTTTCCACCGATTTTCTTTTTTTTTTTTTTTTTATTATTACTCACTCGACTCTTTCAATTTTGGACAATCTTACTTACATTGTTCATTTTTTTTGATCATTAAATGCTATATCGTAGGCTTGCTGCAATGGCCTACGTAAGCCAGTTGTGTCTGTTTGCGTCAGTGTGTGTGTTTTGCGCTTATGTAATCTAAGTCACTAATCCAACACAGAAAGGCTAATTTTTTCTGTGCACTGATAGAAGGATTTCTTAGTATTTAAAAAATTACTTAAAAATCATTTCTTAGTAATTAAAAAATATTTCTTAGTATTTAAGAAATATTACTTAGTATTTATAATATTTCTTAAATGCTAAGAAATATTTTTTAAATACTAAAAAATCCTTCTATCAGTGTAAATTGAAGAAAAAAAATTAATTTGATTCGAAAAAAAAATTCTTGAACCAAGCAAATAATTTTAAAGAGATTCATTGTCTTGAATCTAGATGAAAAATTCTTAAATCAAGTAAAATTTCTTTAAATTAAGAAAAATTTATTAGTCCAAGAATTTTTCTACTCAAATAAAGAAGATTAAGTTCTTCAAAATTATATACTTGATTCAAGAACATTTTTTTCTGTGTGTGGATTGAAAAATAATTTTTTTTGAATCAAGGAAATGTTCAAAAAAGAAAAATAATAAATTAAATTTTTTTTGGGTTAAGTAAAATTTTCTGGCTTCAAAAAAAATATTCTGTTTATTCAGCTCATATAAATAATTATCAATAAATAATCCAATCAATTTATTTATTAATTATTTAATCATAATAAAAATTGCATTAATTCTTAATATTTACAGCTCAAATTTATTATTCATCTGTAAAGTAATAAAATTAAAATCATCTATTATTTAATATTCTTACGAGCTGGATTTAGTATTTTTGCAATAAAAGCTCTCAAATAATTTCATTTTAAAACAAAATATTAATCTGCAAAGTATATTCCAAGCATGCGTACCATAAATCGCCTTAACGCGAAATAATAGCGATCCCTATTAAATATCCAATCGTCATTATCCTTTTCCGAGCTATTATTCTCCAGCGCATGAAAAACTTATAACAGCAGCTTAACCTCGCAGCTATCATTATCACTACACTTCCACTATCACGTAATATGGAGTACATATTCATGTGTGGCTCATAAAAAACACAATAATATTTTTTATATTTTTTTACTGCCCGAGCTATTACTACTGGAGGCATTATTATTTTTAGAGCTGTATCAACGCGAATGGTCGCTGGAATGTGGTGGTTTTTTACTCTGATCATGATATCCTCGTACACTGCGAATCTAGCGGCTTTTTTAACGGTCGAGCGTATGGAATCGCCTATTGAAAGTGCCGAGGATCTCGCTAAGCAGACTAAAATTAAATACGGTGCTTTGGCCGGCGGGAGCACTGCTGCATTTTTCCGGGTGAGTAATTTGCTCCTATTATGCATCCTAGATCTTGCATACTTATCCTTACTTCTACTTTTTTTATTTTGAACCTACTTGCATTTACATCACATCAATACACATCAATACACTGTAAAAAATCTGAATTGAATATAGTACAGAGTTTTTCGAGCAAATAAATTTTTAATTTGCTCGAACAAGTTTTATAAGCCAAATTATTCAATTATATTTTTCCATAAAATTTGATTTAACTAAATTTTGATAAATATTATTTTGTCTTCAAATTTTTTTAATAAATTCTGACGTAAGAAGTAAAAAATCGAAAATTATTAATATTACTACTTTTATATAAATAAAATTAATTATTTTAATATTATTAAAATTTAAAAAAAAAAAATAAATAATTATGGAGAAATTTATCAAAAAATGTTTGTAGCAATTAAAAAAAAAAATGCAATTTTTTTTAAATATCTTTTGAAAAAAAGTTATTAAAATAAAAATTTCTAAATACGTATTTTGTAATTTTTGAACAAATAAAAACTAATTTTTATTATCCAGTAAAAAAAAGAAATAATACACTCCGGGAATTTTTATTTATTAATATTATAAATAACATTCCTTTGGTAGTAAATTCAAGTTTGGAGAGATTATATCACTTAAAACTCATCCACTTAGCAATTTTTTTATAGTGTACTCACTTTTGTATTATTTAATTTTTTAATTCTGAACCTACTTGCGTTTTCATCGCATCAATTCAAAAATCTGTTCATACACATATGTATATGCAGTTCTATCGGATGAATTGAATGCAGCGCAATGTTGTTCAATAAATAAAAATAAATTGAATTGAACCTGTTGGTGAAAGCCGAGGAAATAATCCGAGCCTTTATATCATTTTATTAAACATATATAATATATAAGGTATGATGCATATATTATGGTCTGTTCGGGAAAACAGGACTCGAATTTTTCAACGTATCAGCGAATGTGGTCATTCATGCAGTCCGCAAAGCCGAGTGTATTCACAAAGAGCAATATGGAGGGGGTCGAGTGGGTTATCAAGGGCAAAGGAACATACGCATTCTTGATGGAATCCACATCCATCGAGTACGTGATCGAGCGTAACTGCGAGCTCACTCGAGTCGGCACTGAATTGGATTCTAAAGGATACGGGATCGCGATGCCTCCCAGTAAGCATTTATTTATAAATATATAAATATTTTTTTTAAGTTCTGTTCGTGGTGATATAATATTGTATTGGTGACGGGTGACATCTCACTAATTAAATTTGTATTGGAAATTTCAGACTCGCCCTACAGAACGGCAATCAGCAGCGCTATTCTCAAGCTCCAGGAAGAGGGCAAGCTTCACACCCTCAAGACCAGGTGGTGGAAGGAAAAGCGCGGCGGGGGAAAGTGCAGGGTTAGTTTTATCTTTTTTTTTTCAAGAGAAGTAAAAATTTTATGCCCAGGAAAATAAAAGATACTTGAAGAGCTGTAACTCGGGTAAATGCTCGTATAAAAAGTGTAAAAAAACGTTTTGTAGATCTGTCTTTGGTTTAAGATGCTTTTTAGTGTCTGAGAATATTTTTTTAAAAAATTTAATGGAGAGATTTTATTTTTGTGGTGGTTTGCAGAAGTAATGTAAGGTTTAAATATGGAAAATATTTGACAAATCTGAGACATTTTTTTTTTTTTGGTAAAAGAAATTATTTCAATAAAAATTTCAATTTCAAATTATTTTACAAAATTTATAGTAAATATTTACAAGTCCACCATTTTAATTTTCATTTTTTTTGAATGAAATTTTTGTTTTTGAAAATACGTAAAAAAATGAATTTAAAAAAAAAAAAAGTTTATTACCACAATTTTAACAGATTTTACAAATTTTCAAAAAAATGTATAAATTTTTTAGAAAATTGTGATATTCAACTTTTTTTTTAAGTGTTCGTTTTTTATGTACTTAAAAAAAAAATATTTATCAAAAAAAGATAAAATAGACATTTCATCCAAAAACTTGAGAGCCAAAATTTTTTCCAACTTTTATTAAAGGCAAAAAAGTTATCAAAGTCTTTATTTTTTCTTTTTCACGATATTTTTTATCATAAATGCGCCGTAAAAACAAGCAGAGTAAAAAACATTAAAAAATATTAATTTTTTACCTAGATATGGCCAAAAATAGGGTGGACCCCACTTGTAAATGATTACCAAATTGATTTTTAATTTTCCAAATTTTTCTTCAATTATTAATCTTACTAATAATTTTTTTTTTTAATTCTAAATGATCTAAAAGTTTGACAGAATTTTTTTGTAGGGAATTGAGCGATCTACAAAAAAGATCGTAAAATTTTTAGATAAACTCACTTTTAAAAAAATTATTATATAATAAATTATTATATAATTTTTAATATATTACTCGAACAATTTTTGCAGTTGATTTCAGTATCAAAAATTATTTAAAAAAAAACCTGCTGGATTTAAATACAACTGTCCTTTAAAATAAAAAAATAAAAACATTATTACAAAGAGGAGTAACAAATGATCATCAATCCGTAAGATCTCATCAATAGATCTTTAGATCGTGGAACCACCGTGATAAATAAGAGAACTGGTAAAATGGAGATAGACTTTGACGTTGATTAGGTGAAAAAGAGAGTATCCGTAGCAACTCTCATACCCCCGATGCGATTCGATTCTATTGGATTCTATTCTATTCTATCCATCTTACGAGTAGAGGATAATTGGGAAAGTTTGCTTTACGTGACTGAGACCTGAATCAATTTTAATACGAAGCAGGACACTACTCTATCTATCACAATTTATCTCAATGTTAATTCCTGGATGCCATTACCATTAGTTTATTTTCTCGTTCCTTATTCCCATTCTGGTTGCTCCTTCCAGTCAGGTACTACCTTGAATTTCTTTCAGTAGCGACGTGATTAGTTTCAATGGACGTTTATTGATCGGTAATTAAGGGAGCGTTGTTTATTTTATGGTTACAGGAGGATAATCAAAAAGCGGGATCGACGGCAAACGAGCTGGGACTGGCGAACGTCGGCGGCGTCTTTGTGGTGCTGATGGGCGGCATGGGTGTTGCCTGCGTGATAGCTGTTTGTGAGTTCGTGTGGAAAAGTCGGAAAGTCGCTGTTGAAGAGCGGGTGAGTGTTGTTAAATAACATGAGGAGGCGGCTGGGGTCGAGGCTGGTTGCACCACTTTAAACACAAATCACCTCGATCCCGACGCCATTTATCCCGACATACCACGCGAATATATTAGCTGATGCACGCACACCGGTGGAGTTCCTCTTTAATGGTCTTGCAGCGCGTACAAGAGTACCCAAGTTTGAGCTCATATTCATTATTATATTATTAATTTTTATAATAACTATATTAATTAACTAATTATTCATTTTTATTCAGTCGTTATTCATTATTAAATTATTATTTTTGTGTTATTTTTGAGAATGGAATGAGACTGATGCTTTAGACTAGATTTATAAATATTTTTTTATATCGTTCCGTTTCTTTTGTGAGTTAATAACGCAGCTGTAATTATAAATTAAAAGAAAAAAATTTTTTTCTTTATTTTTATTTGTTAGAAAAAATTTATGTAATAAATATCAATATTTTTATAAGTATTAAAATTGAAAAAAAAAATTTTTTTTTTTACTTAAAATTATTTTTTTGTAACTTAAACTTAAATTTTTGATTTTTTTTTAAAGGTCTAAAATTAATGATATAAATTTTTAAAAAATAACTTTACGCGACAAACTCATAAAAGGAACGATTGATAGCCATCAGATAAAAGCACTTTATTTTTTATAAATCTGCTGCCGCTGGTAAACGCTTGGCTTTGCCTCGAAAGTTTAAAGTTACTGGTACAGTAATGGTGAATTCTATAAAAGGTTGTAGAAATTTAAACCGGACTCGATCCTTAACCTTTGAATCCGTTGAATAGAGCCCCGGTAATGTCGCAGTTTGAAAGGCATTGTCGCGGTTTCTTACGACGCTAGAGTCGATAGGTCATGTCGGATGCCCGGTCAATGGTAAAACACCGATCTATTGACCTTTTTACGTTTATTATTTCGAAAATAGGATTTAAATTACTAACAAAATTAAATTAAAAATTTTTTTATTACCTTATTTTATCGGTGGTTGATCCTTGAAAATTTATTAATTTCATTCGATGGAATTTTGCTAGCTTCCTGATGACCTAAAACAAAAAACGGGCCTGTGTTATGTAAATACGATCTAAAACTTAAATATAAAAAATTAGATTAATTATTGTACTTTTTTTATTAAAAAAAAAAATATTTAACTTGCTAAATAATTTTTTCAAAAATTATCAACATCTTGTAGAATAATGAATAAAATAGTTAATTTTTAGCGTGGAATAAATCCAGTCTAAATAAAAAATTAAGTAGCTGTTTAAAAGGAAATAAATGTTATATTTTTATTGAAAAAGCGCTTGGATATGATTATAATATTTTATGCACGGCTTAAAATAAATCTCTATTAAAAAAAACCCAACGAATGAACTATTAACCGTAAAACGTATTTATATTTAATTATCTCGTAAAAATGGGACTGTTTGTATAATTATTTAAAAGGATAATTATCGAGGATTTATTTACTTCTGTTCTAGAAGCAGAAATCCTCGGAAAAAGCTATCTGCGAGGGTTTTACCGATCTTCATTAGCATCAGTCTTTCTCCTTCCACTCGAGCGAGGCGTATTAATCCCCGTTCACTATCACCCAGCCAAAAAATTACTAACGTTAAGCAAAAAGATTGAATTTTGAGTAAATCGTAGAGTTAAACTATTGGCACTTTTTATAATTATTATTAATATAATAATAATTATTAAAACTTGCGAGACTTGTACGCTTCTTGACCTGGATACGGATTTTAAAGCCAAGAGGAACTTCATCGCTCAAAATTTGAGAAATCACGTCACTTGCATCTGCATACGCGTTCACATCTCGTGTACATTTCAGATGATGTTAATAATTATTAATATTATTATTCGAGAAAATATTTATTGTTTGAATGGTTTTATTAACTACTAAACACAACAAATTAATATATAAATCATAAATAGTTAATGATAAATGATAAATGTCCATTATTTATATAATGATATCGGGTTACAAATGCCATTAATATTTGTTCAAATTTTTTTTTAAGATTAAAAATTATTCTATTAAATTTCTGTATTTAATTTTTTTACACTAAAATTAAGTGATAATTTTTTTTTAATAAATAAATTACTAAAAAAAAATTCTATCTGTAGAAATTTGAAAAAAAAAAAATATGTCTAAATTTGAAAAAATAATTTTTTTTTAATCAAAAAGTTCTTAGACATTTTATTTAACTAATAAAAATTTTTTAAATTAATTTTTACTTTTTTTATAATGCAGTTTATTAGATATATTTTAATAATTTTTTTTTTTGATATTTATTTAAAAGAAAAAATCAAAAAAGATCTTTGTTAATTTGATTTTTATAAAATATTGTCTTGTAATTAATTAAAAATAATTTTTTGAGCAATAATTGCATCTGTAACACGATATGAATGTTAAGATAAATTTTGACCGTCTTAATTTTGAAGCTCTTAAAAAAAAAAAAATCTTGTGAATAAAAATTGAGACGGTCAATACGTCTGTCAATTGCTCATATCAAATTTTAAACCAAAGCAACTGATTTAAGACTAATGTACAATACTATTATTATTATTATTATTATTATAATAAATCTGTTAGTATTTATTGAGGTATAAATTATAATTGAAATATTATCAAGGATTATTGAATGATAAATTATAATTATAACACTACCAATTATTGAATTGCCGATTGTGTTGTTTATAAATATGTAAAGGTATTATATTATATAAATAATAATGGACATGCGTGTTGACATGCACACAAACTATTATCGATTTATAAGACGAACAATCAAGATCGTTTTGTACTGATTAGATAGACAAAGTAACTCGTACATAAATAATTCATAAGATAATGATAATGATAATGATATTGCTAATGGGAAATGGGTAATGGGAATAGAAGTGGATAATGGGTGATTACTCATGTGCTGTACTATAATTATAATAATAATAATAATAATTGTAACTTATACTTATACTTATAACTAACGAAAAAAGTTATTGTAAATATGGTCATTATCATCCATCATGTGTAGCTTCAATTAGTTTGTCTCTCGGCGGTTTATTTGACAAATAGTTACTTTTTGTAAGAGTTCTTTGTACTTTGTACCGAGTCGAAAGTACCGGGGTGAAATAGACAATTATGGCGAGCCATTTTAGCCCCGGTGTTTTCACGCTTGTTGCGATCTGTACATACTAATAGACTTAATTAAAATTAATATAAAATGTTATGAGAATAAGTAATAAGTAATAAGGATAATAGTTATGTGAAAGTTTAGTATGACATTGTTAGTTGTCTCGCATATGTTTCTTGCTAACGTTCGTCCTGGATGTACAGAAGGTGAGCTAATTAATTTTCTTTTTACCGCCGCTATGCTGTGTAAACTTTTTATTGTTCACTCTTCAGTTTAGTACTTAACTTTTTATTCACACTTTTTTTCTTTATTGTTTATACATTGTTTTGTATTACAAGTAAATATTTATATTTTCAGGGAAAAATTAGTAGCCAGAAATGATATTTTTAATTATAGCTTTGTCGGTGTTAATTATAGCTCTTTTCTTCTTGCAATTATAATTTTGTCTAAAAATAGAAAAAATTTAACTTGCAAATTATTTATTTTTTTTTTTTATTTAAAAAAAAAATAGTTGCTTAAATTTAAACAATTTAAATTTAAAAAAGAAGGAAGATTTTTTTTATAAAATCAACAATAATTTTTCTTAAATTTTTTTTTTTTTCAATGAAAGTTTTCAAAAAATTGAACAAACAATTTAATAATAAAATTTTTTCTTCAATTTTTTAGAAAAAAAGTTACATAAATAATTTTCTAAATAAAAAAAATTAATTTAATAATATTTTCTTTCTAATTTTCTTCCAACAAATAAAACTGAATTTTTAATGTTTACTAATTTTATCTTTGCAGAAAAAAAATTTAATAATATTTTTCATAAGCTAGATCTGTCAAAAATAAAAAAAAATTAATAAAAGAGGTCAGCAGTTTTTGAGCGTCCAAATATTAGCTCAGGATTTTATTAAATACTATGTTCTGTAACTAAAATAAGTAAATGTCAATGTGTGTTCTCTTGGATTTTATTGCAGAAATCATTACACTCGGAGCGAACGAGTGAAATGCAATATTCTGTGGACAGCATCGATTGTCTAGAAAAAACATCGAGCAAGATATCGTGTTATTGGGATAAACAACGTCCAAATTTATCAACCGTTTCAGAAGTAAAACCTCCGACCCCCGGCTACTCTAAGTACACACATTTCGTTGGAAAACCGCCATTGACATAAAACACACACCTTCATATATGATATATTTAACTTAAAAAGAAAAAAAAACAACTCCAAACGTGACTGAAATCATGCTTACGGATTATGATAAATATAAAACCACAAACAATAAAAATAATTCACTAAAATAATGAACTAGCGTATAGAAAAAAAATCAAAAATTATTCTAAGCGTAAGTGATAACTGATCATTTTTTAATTTACAAATTTACCTAGTATTTATTAGCTACTAATATACAACACAAACATATATAAATATTAAATTGAATATATTATATAAATAAATGTTTTTTATTGCGTGATATTATTCAAAGTCTAAATATTGTAATTAAAATTATAAATAATCACTAGTATACTGTAATTGTAAATAAATTTTAATTCACTTGTGTGTGATGTGTTGAAAAATGTGAATGTGTGTGAGGGAGTGGGTGAGAGAGTGTCTGTTCATTTTTGCCATGTACTTTATTTAACTCTCATTGACTAAACGATTTAAAACTACGACACATTGCATAAAAACTGCCAAATTATAAATATATATTAATTATAAATTATATATGGCGTTTGTATATAAATAAATAAATGATTTAAAGTCAAATAGTTTTCATTTATTTTATTTTGTATTAAAATTTTTTATTCCTGTCCATATTTTTCCTTATTTTTATTTTTCAGATGAACAATCGTGGAAGAGTTCGCTGTTAACTATCACAAAAGAATTTATTAAGTTTAAGATTTGATAAATTTTTAAATAAAAGATTAATAATTTTATCGATTTATTGGAATTTTTTATTTATTCAATTTATGGAACTATAAAAAATATGTAAATAGAATTTTAGTACTCAATTTTTATTCAAGGGTTTAAATACATGTCTACAAATAGATAAAAGATCTATATTATCAAGAGAATAAGCGAAATTTTGTGGCCAGTGTATTTATATGATAAAATGGGTTTTTATGGATAAATTTGGTATCGTTGGAAAGTCTTGACCTAGAGTTATGCCTTTTCATGGTTTCATATCATTCTCACTAATAGTCAATTTATTATGATAAGTATTTAGGCTGCATTCGAAAATGCTCGATCTCTAGATACATAATTAAGAAACGACCTTGTATGTCCTGAACTATTGACATTTTTAAAGATATAAGCTCATCCCGATGTTACACTCATCAAGAGCTTTCATTTAAGTACCCATATCAATTTTCATGTATTATTATATATATATTTATATATATATATATATATATATATATATATATATATATATATATA